CACAACCCTCGATCTCATGACGCTATGGCCTACGAATGAAGATCGAGAGATTCCCAGATAGAAAGTAATAGCAGATTATTCAATCGGGCAACTCGTCTACGTGAGGACTTTCAGCGGAAGTTCCGAAGTCCTGCCTGTCTGTCGTATCGTTAGGTACTCTCGTCTCCAGCCCATCTGTTCCAGCCACAGGCCATAAACTCAAGGTTCGTGCTCGCTTTTTTCGCGAGGGCCGAGGGCATCGGAAATACAGTCCCAGTCTCGATACTCCACACTGTAAACTACGAGGCCGCTTTCCTTATTCCTGCTCTTTTGATTCCTCCTGATTTTATTAGCCTGGGTTTGGTTTCGTATGCTCCTGGAATTAGGGATGTAACGGGGTTCTCATAGTTGCATGCTTCGGGGTTCTCGAGGATCTACACTTTTTGGCAGCATGCAATCCATGTATAACTTGTGTAGAAAAGGCTCCATGTTGGATGACCAGAAGGTGTCACCCCTTTCAATACGTTGGATATCAATGTCCTTGAGTGTAAATACAACAAAATCACAAATCTCTCTTCGTGTAATGTGTAACTACCCTTGGATTTGGTAGTAGAAGCTATGGTGGTGACTTAGACCTTTTACACCAGGTTCATTTTTCTTATTTTTTGCCTCATACTCTTTTGCGGCCTCAGTAGGCTTCAAGAATCTTTTGTAACAATCGCTCCTTAGAAAGAGCAATTGCCGCCAGATATACACACATGGTCGACCGCGGATCGCACAGCGGCAAATCTTTGAGAAACCTTTATTAGCTACCTGAGAGTGTACTGATCTTGAAAATGGTGCCTATCGATAACTAGTCTACTGAAAATGCATATCCAAGTGATGAGACGTATGAGCTTTCGCAAAGAATGAAGCGATTTTGCATCAAATCCGGGGCCTGAAGTTTTGTTGACGCACACGAAAAATCCACCTTCGCTGTAAAAGATATAGCCGCACGCTGTGCCGCGCGTTATTCGCGTTTCATATGCGGTGGTTGCGCGGTCGAAATCGCTGCCTGCAGCGCTGCCGCAGCACAAATCTCAAGGTTTAATTTCACATTAGTTGTTTGCGGGCGTTGTTTGCCGTGGCGACGCCCAACGATGCTTGCAGCAAGCGGACGCGCAAAGAAAGTTTTAGCGGTCTCGAATAACAATCTGAGTGACTCAGGTTTCAGTTTCCTCTCTCATTTTACTTTATTAAAACAAAATAACCATCTAGAAACGTCACAGCGTCGTCTTCTGTTCTTTTCCCTTTCTACTTCCTCTTCTTTACTAGAGGTTAAACCTATCAGTCTCACGCCAGCCGCGCTTGTGTGTGGTCGCTCTATTCCGTCCCTCCAGACAGCACACCAACATGGAGAGTTAACAGCGCAAACAGGAAGGATAGAAGAAGAAGAGAGTATTTCCTTCTTTTATTTCGTTCTTCTATTCTCGTATCTGCGCTGTTAATTCCACATAATGATCAACCAACTAGCTCACCAGGTGATCGTGCAACATGGAGAGGTTTTGACACAAGGGCAAAAGGAAATGGGGACTTCAACTTTGCAAGCACAGTTCCAATGCCAGTTATGTCGGTACGGTGGGGGCAGGGGGGAAATCGGCCCTGAAAGGATATGCCCAAACATTTCAGACAGTCCTTGCAAATATTCAGAGGGAGGGGGGAACAGTCACCTCCCCAATCTCCCGAACAGTTCTGACCCGACCAATAAAGGAGAAAAGCTGTCCCCCGCCAATGGAAATGAAAAAGAAAAAAAAAAAGAAAAAAAAGAAAACAGCGAATGAGCCGTTTGCGTTTTTTCTTTGCATGTCGTCTGCTCGAAAAACGGGAAAACGCCATCTTACGTGCAAGCTTTCCCGCCATGCTTCTCCTGTCACGTGGTTCTCCGCTGCGCTGTGAATGGCCAGCGCGGATGCCGCTCTGCCAATGTGGCTGGCCAGAGCGCCGCGGCGACGTAAATCGTGCCGCTCTAGGAGCAAAACCTAGCCTGAGGTTTCTGTTTTACACCATAATAATTAATGTATAATCACGAGTAGCTGCATATATTTTCTACTTTATTTAAAGTCCATGCCATATTTCAGGATATGTATGCCATAATTATGTTCTTTGCAACTCAATTCGTGATTGGTAACTTACAGTTTCAGATACTGACCAATCGTATTACAAAAGGAATAAAATAAAATTTTGCAAAACGATAAATAACTTGTGAGATATAAAAATGAAAGCCGTTTACCACTCCCTGTAACACCGAATTGGAGCGCAGCTCATGAGGAGGAGGAGGGAAGGGTACTGAGTGTCACGTGTTCTCGGGGCGGGGGGGGGGGGGGGGGGGTCTCGTGACCTTGGGGGGGGGGGGTCATGTGACTTTGGGGGGTCACGTGACCCCCCAGAAAAAATTTTCCGCTAGATTTAGCGGGGAATTTTTTCCGCTATATCTAGCGGCGAAAATTTTCCGCTAGATTTAGCTCGGAATTTTTTCCGCTAGATTTAGCGGGGAATTTTTTCCGATAGATTTAGTGGGAAACATTTTCCGCTAGATTTAGCGGGGAAATTTTTCCGCTAGATTTAGCGGGGAAATTTTACCGCTAGATTTAGCGGGGAATTTTTCCCGTTAGATTTAGCGGGAAAATTTTTCCGCTAGATTTAGCGGGAAATGTTTTCCGCTAGATTTAGCGGAGAAATTTTTCCGCTAGATTTAGCGGGGACAATTTTCCGCTAGGTTTAGTGGGGAATTTTTCCCGGTAGATTTCGCGGGGAAATTTTTCCGCTAGATTTAGCGGGGAATTTTTTCCGCTAAGTGAGGAAAATTTTCCCGCTAGATTTAGCGGGGAAATGTTTCCCCTAAATCTAGCGGGGAATTTTTTCCGCTAGATTTAGCGGGGAATTTTTTCCGCTAGATTTAGAGGGAGAAATTTTTCCGCTAGATTTAGCGGGGAATTTTTTCCGCTAAATCTAGCGGGGAAAATTTTCCGCTAGATTTGGCGGGGAAATTTTTCCGCTAGATTTAGCGGGGAATCTAGCGGGGAATATTTTCCGCTAGATCTAGCGGGGAAATTTACCCACAATGCACCGCGCGGTTACGCCGACGCCGACGCCGACGCCGACGCCGCTCAAGCCGGGAACGGGCCCCTAAGGGCTGCGCTCTAAAAAATAAATTCTTAGTACCGGGTACAGGGAACTAAAATATAGGGGCAATGGAAAAAAAATGTCGGTGGCGCCCCATCGGCCGTGTGAAGCCAGAAGTGAAGACTGCCGCGAGTGGCGCTGTTGTCGAAATCCGGAGGACATGGCTACCTTGACATGGGAAACGGCGTTGCTTACGTTCTCAGATGGTTTCTGTGGTGTCTATGGTCGTTTTCGCAATTTGTATTCGTGAATATCAAGTGCTTGGCATTGTGATTACATACGTTCGAGTCAATTGCCCCTAAGCAATACAAACTAAGAGAAAGAAGACGGATGCGCACCGCTGCGCACCAGCGCGCAAGGCTGGTTACCCCGGTTTTCTATACATTGCCCGAGTAAGCTTTAAACATTGATTCATAGACGTTGAAACACCCATAAAACATACATAGGCCACAGAAATGAACCGCTATGATCAAGAACAACTACGCTTGGCGCGAACTTCGCTGGCAGGAGTGCTCCGAAATCGAACACCAGCGCTACCTGGTAGGTTCTACACGAAGCGCCTCACCTGGAGACCGGCTATTTTTCCACTACTTCTATTCTAGAACATGGTTAAAAACCGCGCACAAAGAGACAAGGACAAACGATGTTCAACGTTTACCGACTCGCCCAGCTTACTACTTTACTATACTTCTATTCTAGTTCACTGTAATACGGGTATTCTGACATGACGAGTATTCCTCGTGCAAGATGCCCTATGACAAGTTGACCTACCTGACGAGTTCCCCTATGACCAGCTGGCCCGTGACGACTAGGCATGTGACGAGGTTCGCTAGACCCGTTTTCGCCGGTTATAAGATCTACCCATACTCGTTTACATATGTAGGTGTATTTTGTTTTGTTTTTATTTTGAGTAACCCACCAACAGCTTAACACCTCCTTAGTAGTGCGCTTAAATATATGTTATCCTATCAGGCCTTACACGCCTCAGGCCTTTTGGCGTTGCTTTTGGTGCCGTTATTTCGATTGTTTCCGCTATTTCAAATAATCGAAGCGTCGGTTGTCTAGGTACCCGATAAAGGGGAAAAAAGTTATAGTGTAAAACCGCATGTGCTCCGAACGTTCCGTTCTCTTTACAATCCTGCATTTGAGCTGCAGGAGTTTTCCCCTATTTTGCACTAAACCGGATTGCAGGTGCTTGGCGCAGTTTCACAGGAAAAACATATATTAAAAAAAAAAAAATCGAATGAGCGCCGCCTTTTTTTTTTTTTTTTGCTTGTCTGATTTATTGGGAACAATGCCCCTTCTTTTTTTATAAATCATTTCCGTTCTGGCGTTTTACAGTCAACTTCGAATTGAAGCCACCAATGTATTCCAACATGCTGTTTACGAAGAAGTGTGCGTTCGTTAACACCAAGCGTGGATACTGCGCGTGCGCAGCGCCGACATTAGGGCCATCGGAGCAGCGTTACATTCGTTCCACTTGTTGGTCTGTAGAGCATACCTTTACGACTTTTCGTTGGTACAGGAGTGCCGCTCTACTTGCCTGTCACATACGAAGTCAACTCCGCACAGTGCGTTTTCTCCGTTAGCTTGCGTAAAAACCAAAACACCCACAATTCATTTCTTTTTCTTCAGTTTACTCGAGTTTAATTTTACTTCTACCACGTCCCTATTTCGTCTCGACCCGCATCCTGTGATTCGAAGCATCTGAGATTGATTGTCTGACTTGATTTACTTAGCTCAAGAAATATCCACGGTCGAAAGCTTCCCGACATTCTATCGTTACTTCAAACTTGTATTATCACTCAGTAGACGACAAATCGGCCCGTTCTGTTTTTTTTTTTCCAACTTCGTTCTAGCGGAGAAAATGTCGAAGATGACCCGCGAGGTGATTCCTTACCTGCCTGGTGGCCGGGTGAACATGATGACCAAGACCAGAAGGTAAGTACGCACACTAACCTGGCAGCACGCGCTGAGCATTTCGGGATGTTTTTTATAGTCACTGAAAACTTCAGAAATGTAGCCAGTGATTTAATATACAGCATGTAAGCCAACGCTTTTAAGGCACTTTAGACGGTCTGGAAAGCTCAGTTTCTTAACATATCGCGCAGCAATTTACTACAGAGGTACAAGCTGGCAATGAAAGTTTAGAATGAAAAAAAAAAAAAGAATGATCATACTTTGTTAAAAAAGAACACACACACAAAAACCCGTTTGGGCGACCTATATACCAACTCATGTTTACAAAAAACCAGAGCGCCCCTAGCGGACGACACCGGCGCGGCGCATGCGCGATGGAGTGTGGGCAAGAAGCACGCCGTCGCCCATAAACAAACCATTGAAAGGCGATGGTGTCGGTGTCGGTGTGAGTCCCCCTGCCCTTTTTCGCGTTCGAATTGTCGATTCTACGTCTTCCTGGGACAATGCTTGAGTACTTCAGCGGCCCCAGCGAAATTACCGAGGCTAGTTACACCGCAAAACTTCGCGTGAATAATGTGACATGCGGCGATTCATTCCGCGTGGGCGCCGCAGAATGGACGCCAAATCCTGATTCGGATGATGAGATTTCGCTCGCAAATTTCAGTCGCGACGTCACTCGGGCTGCAAAAGCGTTAACCATAGCTGAGATGGTCGACGTCGATACTGAAAATCGCAAGCAGAATCGGACGGACCAAGTGAATCAGGCATAACAAGTCGGTGATTGCCACTGGTAACAATCATAAACATCTCCTTCTATTTATTGTTTACACCGAGCCTGCTTATCAACATTAAAACTTAAGTCTTTTGAGGCCTGCACTTACTTCTTATCGCAAGTACCGGGCCAACATTTGGTCTACGAGCCGGTGTCGTCTAAAAGAGCAGACGACAAGCAGAAACGTTTGAAAGAGCAGACGACAGTTCGAACGATCAGGCGGCCGTTTGTTGGAACAAAACAAATAAATCTGATTACCACAAGTATCCGTGAATACAACCCAAAGTGCTTCCAGCCCAAGCAATTGTGGTCCCACGGCGTCTGGTTTCCTCTTTTCACGGCACACATCCCGTTCTCGGACGAACCGAGCACACAAAAACTGACCTTCAAACCTTTCTCGACTTTTTTGGTACAGCCCCAGTCGTGGCGTTTTGACGAGAATGCAGGTTTTTGTCTGTTTCCTTTCAAAACAACGCACGAATGCACGTATCAAAGGGGGACATCCGCCCCCAGCCCCAGACCGGAAGTGCGCCCGACGCGCCACCACCGCGCCGTGACGTAACAGAGTTGAGTTCGTGCATATACGCACTTCGCAGACGATACCACGGTGGACGATACACGCATCGAGAAAAATGATTACGAAAGATGGCGTACGCCGTGTTGAGGGAGTGGCGGACGATGATCATTTGCTATCAAGTCGAATCGGCCGGCGGTCCCTCGATGCGGCGTACGCCATCTGTCGGCAGCACTTCTCTCTATGCGTGCATCGTCTGCGAAGTGGCGGCGTAGGTTGCCCAGAATAGGTTCTTTTTTTCTTTCCATTCCAGCGAGGTAAGTTCATTCCTTGATTTTTTTTTCACTGTAAGCTTCCACCACCGGCTTGCACCTCTGTAGCAAATTGTAGCGCGATACGTCAAGAAACCGATTTTTGCGGTCCGTTTTAAGTGCCTTAAAAGCGTTAGTTCACATGCCGTGTGTTAACACTTCTCGCTTCATGATTGAGTTTTCTCCGTTTTTATCGACAAATGCCACAACTGATTAGCTGCAGAGCAATCAGAAGACACTGCGGACTCGACCCGCTTTGGGTTTCTTAAGCGGTCGTTGATACTAGTATGCCACATGCACACGGTCCAATGCATCTGACCTGAGATCTACAAGAAAGGACGCTGCTTTTCAATTCGTTTACGCTGTTAAAAAGTCATTATGTCCGCTTTATTTTATGGAAAGACACTGGGAAATCAAATCACGTGATCTACGAAGGAAGCTTGGCTAATGGTTATGCGGAATAAACGCCTCGACTTAAATCAGGAACAAGAACGACAGCAAGCGAAAAGAGCTTGCCATATGAGGCATTGAACGTGACGTGTTTGTGTGAAAATTCAAGCTCGGTGTCCGGATCTCCGACCCTATTTTGTGCCGAAAAAGCTGTTCCGGTCTTGGCACTTCTTATGTCACAAAGATTGTTCTCCGATTGCCTTTGTGTCAAAGTACAGGCAGCGGACCGTTTTGGAGAACCCTAAACCTTTTGCATGATCCAAACTACAACAACAAAAACAACCACAATAACAAAAACAACAACAGAAACAACAACAAGTGCGACAACAACAAAAACGACAACGAAGACAACAACAACGATAACGAAAACAACAACGACAACAAAATAAACAAAACAAAAATCGAAAAGCAAGAACAAGTACAACAGCAACAAGAAAAGCAACAACAAAATAAACAACAACAACAATAACAAAAAGAACAACAGCAGCAGCAACCAAAAAGCAACAACTGCAACAATAAATGCAACAGCAACAACAAAATCAATAACAACAGATGGAACAACGACCACAAAAGCAACAACAACAATAAAAGCAGCAACAACCCAAACAGTATCTTCACTGTTTGGGTTGTTTTCGGTGAAGATACCAAACAGTATCTTCACCGAAAAAATTCTAGAAATATGAGCATCCCTTCAACGGAGAGTCAGAACAAGCGGCCACGTGGCCTGGAGCCCATCCTATGCCGCCAACGTTAATCATTGCAACGTGCTGGGGTTGGCAAAGTAGAAAACGCGTGCTAAGCTCCAGGCATTGTTAGAGTTCGGCTATTCTTATCACCGCAGTGGTTGGACACGAGCCACAACCCGGGTGTGCGCCGAAGCGTTGAGTGTTAGAAGCTGAATTCGAGTGCTCACGCAGTTCTCGTGTCCAATCCATGAGCCACGCTCGACTCTCGTCTGGCGGGTGGTTTCCATCCCACAATTGCGTCATCAAGCTTTGCGAAGGCAACACTGAAAAAAGTAGTCCCAATTTTTATCTTCGCAATTTTACCGCGACCAAAAAGCTTCTGAATCAGTGGCAGTCTGTGCGTATATACGCGGGCCAGACTAGGACCAGTACGCCTGCGCAAAGTCATGAACATTCCAACCCGATATCGTTTTATGACCAATTTAATCACATCGCTTTCTCAGAAGGGTATCTGTCCGGAGGATATCATGTTTCTCTTTGAATTCATTGAAAGTGCTACCCAAGGAAACCGGTTCATTTCACATTGTGAATTTTTGTTTTCTGTCAACAGTTTGGCCGTTCGAGTTGGAGGCACCATGTACATCTCGGGCCTGCTTGGGATAATTTCGGAGACTCTGTCCGTGGTTCCCGGTGGAATCGTTCCCGAGACACGACTAGCAAGTTCTTTTACAACAATCGTAGATAGAATGAAAAAAAAAAAAAGTAAAGAAAGAGCTCTTTCAAAAAGTATGGGATTTCATGTTTAGCAAACTTGGCTGTTCCATAGGACCTTATTAAAGGGCATACCCAGGGAGTGAACCACCTTATTTTTATTTCAGCGATGTTACCGGCCAATCTTTCGCATTGTTATTGTGATTATGGGAGACTTTTACGGCGATGTTCTTGTCCTACACTCAGTTCGGAAAGATTTTAGCGTCATCTTATTTTTTGCATAACAGCTCGCATAAGTTAATTGTTCTTCAAACCTCACGACAGCTATTTGTATCGACGTGCCGCATACAGTAATGTTGAGGGCGATTCCCACTTTAAAAGTTGCAAAAATCAACAAAACCAGTCCCATAAACCGCATACAACATTTCTATAACACCTTCAGCAGAACCAGTACCGACACCTTTTTTTCAGGCATTGAAATGTTTAGTCCTTCTCATACTAATATTTAACTATATATTGTGCATCTTAAACAAGATATTTGCTGTTAGTTTATGTTATTTATTTTGAATAAAACATTTGATTTGTTATTAAGCTTGATTGCAACTACATATATTAATTATACAATCTTAGCTAGTTTTTTTAACACATATAGAATACTGTATAACGACATCATGTTGAGCGTGCATCGCCATCTCGCAATCTGTAACACTTTATATGTGCATCATAATCAACGCTATTAGGTGGCTCTTCATCATACAAAAAACGAATTATTATTATGAGTAATAATACTTTTATTTAGTATTGTGATAATCACTAGCCAAGAATGAAAAATAAAAGTGAAATAAAATTACTGGAACTTGAATAGTGTGTATGTTAAGTAATCCACGGAAGAATACGTGTCATTAAGAATAATCTAACTTTCATTTTTGCATTACACTCCTTGCTGATATTTGAAGCACAAGATAGTCCCTAAACGAAAACAAAACGTTTTGATGGTGTTCCTTTGATTAATAGGATTGCGAGTAATTTTAAACAAACAAAAAAAAAAAGAATAAGAATAAAATATAATTCATTGGTCATTATTGTCTGCAAACACGAGAAGGCTATTCTTAAGTTTCTTCACAGGACGTTTGTATTTTTCTTGTTAATTTTTAGGCCCTCACGCACCTGGGAAAAATCTTGGAACGGGGAAGAATGAACTATAAAAACGGTCAGTTGGTTAATAAAATATTCTGTTTTGTTTCTTTTTTTCTCACTTGCCACATTTCACAGTCTTCTTAAGAAAAAAGAAGGTTATTGAATTGAAACATAAAATATACGTAAAACTTTCACAAATTAAAAGAGTAGTATAGATAATACCTGTACACCCGCCGGCAATATGAAGGTGAACAGCTTACCTGGTTTCTTGCCTGTTTTACGGCTCCCGAAAGCTATACTAACTCTCAACGTCTCAAATGGTACGTGGCTTGGTGGTCTAAATTTTGCGTTCTAGCCCTCTTCTGGAACAGAGCCTGTTCCAAAACTTGCGGGAGCGTTAAAAACAATAAGAGGGCTGTTCACATTCATATCGCTCAGGGGCGCACATGATAATCGCACGCTTGTATATTGAGCGGGTGGCTGCATGTTTCGTTCTTAATGTCGGAATTTGACGAGCGCTCGAAAATCAGCCAGTGGAGAGCGCAAGGCGTCTCGGGACATTCGTCGCGTTAAATAGAGCCCGTGATGTCATCGATTCAATCAGGAAAAAGCGTACCGTAGTTATTAGTTTTTTCTGCTCGATTGCGACAACGCATTACAACCTCCCTCTGTCGAAGTTCCCGGGGACTGAACAAACGCACGATCGCAGCTTCTCTTCAATCCCATCCCCCCACCACCATCACCGCCTTCGCGGAGTGCTCGCGCTGCTGAATTCATTCATTCATTTATTCATTCATTCATTCATTGAGTGGTCCACAAACTACATGACGCCTTTTTAGTGGTGCACTTACCAGATTAGTATGGAACAGCACAACAAACATACGAATAGGAAGAGAAACTTTAGAGCAACACAATATAAGCAACAAAATTTCTGAATCTACGCGCGTCATCAAAAAAATATCAAGGCTACTATTCGCAGCAATCTGTTTACAATGGTTATACGTTAATTGTAGCCGTGTCATGGAGATGAAAAGCCTGTCGTTATCCTCCTTTTCCTTGGAACCTGCACATTTCACCGAATGGGGGACTGTGACCTCAATTTCGTTGCGTGTGCTCGCGCACACCGGCCGCTGCTGGCTCGTGGAAAAATCGTGCTCCACTTATTACGGACACTGGTACTGTTTGACTCAGCATCCATTTAAAACCCTAGATATAGCAGGCGAACAGACATGCACATGGAATCTTAGAATTTTCCCACATTCTGGTTTCCACCTTGTTTGCGTGTGTTTGTGTGTGTGTGGAAAAAGGGGGGGGGGGGGACGGTATTTTATTTGTATCCTACGGCTTTGTAACAAGCGACAAGGAATTGACAACCTCTCCTTCGTTTTGTTTTAGTGGTGAAGTGCACGGTCTACATGGCGGACATAAGCGAAGTTGCAGAAATGAACAAGGTTTACTCCGAGTGTAAGTTGAAAACCACAACAACAACAACAACACTGATGACATATAACAGAAACAAACGGAAGTCTCTAGAAAAAAGAACACGAGTACACGTGACACATCGGGATAATGCTGCTCAATAACACTGACAATTTAAGAACGAGAGAGGGTGACGAGTTTCCAGAAGTTTTATAGCTGCTCTGTAGCGCGCCAATGATGTTGCGACATCAGCCAATGAGAACGCCGAGAAATGAACCCCTTGACTTTAAGCGTGCGCACGATTCGCCACCCTCTGTGTTTTTTAGGCTCTCACAGACAGATGAATGAAAATGTATATAGTGAAAATTACAGGAGAACGCTTAAGCTTCTCCTTGAAGAGTGAAACGCGATAGCTAAACATAAAAACGTCCACTCTTTCTAGAGCCGTACAATCCTGTCTGCATAGCGTAGTCGTAAGCCTGTGTGGCTCACAACCGAAAAGTTGTGGGATCGAATCCCACCTCCGCCTAAAAGTCCTAAATTTATTTTTAAGGCAAATGAATTACTTTACAAAGTGAAATCATTTGAGACATGCGGGGACCTTTAATTAAATGCCGTTTTATTCACTTTCATTCCACGCATGACGTCACGGTTCACGGGAGCGTTGCGGGTTGTTTGAAATTCGCGCGCGGTGGCATGTGGCCGTGACGTCATGAGCATATCTGCCAATCAGGATTTTCCCGACAAAAGCCACCGGCACCGACGGCGGCTTTTCTGAGACACGAGCCCCTTGAAGCTATCGCTTCAAAACTTCGAAGCTGAAGTCGTGCTCAATTTAAATCCGTGCACCCTAGTCAGTATGTGTGTATTGCGGTTCGTTAGAAATATATTAACCGGAATCATTCCTTGGCGCGCTTCAGTTAAATTTAAAATACGCACGAGGCATGATTGTTTGTTTGACAACCATATTTGGAAATCTGACGGAAGCACAATTTCAAGAGTAGGTGGTTCACAAAAAAATGTTTGAAGTATGCGGTGAAAGGTTTATATAAAAAAAAGTTCATAATTGGACGAACGAGCGTCATAGAAAAAAAGCGTTAGAGTCGTCTCGTATAGGTTACAACGGAGCACATGGCGTTTATTTTGTAAGTGACACAAATTTGCTGAGATGATCTTTTTTTTATTTTGTATCTGTTCATAGTTTTCGGAGAAGAACCCCCTGCACGAGTGGCTTTCCAGGTGGCAAGACTTCTCATGGTAAATAGTGACTATTGCTCTTATGTAAAGCACAGTTTAAGCAAAGCATGCATGGTTGCTGCCTTGCAATGAAATCGGAGCAGGCTACCACTTGTCCTTCAACGAATTTAGTCAGTAATGAGGGCCACAGATGATAACCATTGGGGATGGTCGTGGCTGAAAGTGATGAAATCCGGTGATGATGGTCATTGAGGATGACCAGTGGAGATGGCCAGTGAGGGTGATTAGTGAAAATGGAAAGTTACGAGAGCCAGTGAGATACCCTTTGAAGATGACCAGTGAGGATGATCAGTGAGGATGATCAGTGAGGAGGACCGTTCAGGATCGCTTTTAAAAGTTGCCAGTGGAGAATTTCAGTGAGGATGATTAGTGAAGATGGGAGTTAATGGTTGAGGAACAGTGAATAAGCCATCGAAGATGACCAGTGAGAATGCACAGAGAGGAGAACGATTCAGCAGTGCTATTGAGGGCTGCCTGAGGAGACGGTTAGCGGGAACGATTAGTGAGAATGTAGTGATGGGGGCCACTGAGGAAACCAACGAAGAGGACAAGAGCGGAAGATCAGTGAGACGGTCTATTTAACGTTGCCACTTAGTATTGCCAATGGCGATAGTCTGTGAAAATCTTTTGTGAGAACGAAAAGTGTTAAGTGCCAGTGAGAGGTACATTAAAGATAACAATTCATGATTAACATTGATGAGAGTAGTTGATGATGGTTAATGAGAATACTAAGAAGGTCGTTGGGAAGGGTAAGGTATCAGCGGCAGTAATGAAGGTAACTTAAAATGAACAGTGAGAATAATATTTTTTTGAAGATGCTCAGGGATGATAGCGAGGGATGAGAGTCATTGGAGGCGGCCAGTGAGGACGTTCCGTAATCAGGCTCAATGAAGAGGGCCAGTGAGAGATACTATGGACGAAAGCCAATCAGGAGTATGAGTTAGAAGGGTGATTCAGGGATTGGGGATGCTTTGAAACTGAAGGACTACTGCTCTTCTCACGGGCTAAGCTCAATAAATGATCTGGTTGGTGACTGTCGTTTCAGGTGCACAATAGCAGGGCATAAAAGCAGGCATTCCTGATAATTTGAAAACGTTTCTGCTTATATGTTAATTATTTGAACTATGCCGTGCGCAATTCATACATCCACAATATGAGATGGACGAGAAACATGCGAACTCCTTTGTTCGTTTGTCGCGTACATTGTTTCGTATACATCTTTGTCAGAACGATACCCATTGCATCGTATGGTGTTTTAATTTTTAATATACATTATCATAACCTCGGCAGGCTGCATGGTCAATAACTTCATTCATGCATCGTGTATCACTACGGCGTGATGCACGTTAAACATCCCAGGCTAGCGGTTGTACTGCACTGGCTTAATTTCTCATCTACAGCTAGGAGACTCCTCGCCCGTTGAGGTAGACCAAGTTTTAAACTGTATAACCATACACACAACCCAATTTTTTAACTTCATTCATGGTCGTACCAGCCTGCCTAAATTACAAGGTTTCTTGATCGAATAGAGGTCATGTATTAAGAGAGAGAGCACTTTTGCGGTTCGAAAACAAGAACAAATGGACAATTAAAGAAAGAGTTACACAGTTAAAACATTATGTCGCCTGTTATGTTTTTATTATTAAGTAAGTCTATACATATTACAAGTTTGTGATCATTAGCTTATAACACTTGTTTTCTGTACGAGCACATTAAGAGATTTGGTTGTCCTTTAGTGGCAACGTCGTTGCACAGGATGATATTTTTGGTGGGTGCAGAATTTAAAATAAAGGGAGCTTAAATTAGGGTACTTTTAGCCCTTGGGCTAAGTTGGAGGCTTTGGGAGCCGTTATAATAAAGGCAAAATGGCTTAAATGTTTAGCTAATTCAAATAATTTATAGTAAAGTTTTTTTTTCTTGTGGGATAATGCAGCTGGAGAATTGACGCTAAACCTCATTAAGGTATAACGTGACGTAAACCTTTTACTAAAAAAAAAAAAAAAGAATTGTAGTGAGCACTACGGTTCGAGCAGCGTTATTCTTTACACGGTTTCAAACCGCCAGTCTGAGAAAGCTCGTGCGTGGCGTCGATCCCTCCGTCCCGTGCCCTCTCCAACGTTGCTAGATCTAACAAAACTGCCCATAGACGTTACTTCCACGAGCAGTAGTAACCCCTTGGTAATCGGCCATTGGCCATGTGCTTGACGTTCTTTCATTGTACGGACGGCCATTCCCGAACAGTTTTGGGCGGGCGATTTTGATTTGCTTAGAGCGGTCTCAACATGATCTCAAATCCTTGCTGCTCTCGGTGTAGAATAGTATATTATACTTATCCAAAATCGGTGACTGAACAAGGGTTCAGGGGAAGCTCCTCTTTCCTCTTTCCACGTTCTACGTCGCCACCTCTTCAGCGTTAGCTCTGCTAGAATAGAAAGGAATGGGAAGAGTTTTCCTTGACCTCTTAACCTGCCACCATGCATGTTCCTATAGAAACATTTTGCTTTAATCTCCTTATTTCTTTGGACCTTCGTGTACTAGCGTGCACACGCCTTTGACTTGCCTTGTGTTTTGGTTGCCGATGATTCGATTGTGAATTTCATGATCCTTACAGATCTATACATGTGCACCAATGAAACTAAGCCAGTGACCCTGTCCTGCGATGCAGAGAATGGCATACTCCTGGCGCGTGTTGCGGGGAGAAAAAAAAGAAAAAAAAGAACAAAAACAGAAAATCTGTGCACGTTTTTTTATTTTTTTTTTTATTTTGACCCACTGGAAAAAGTTTTGTCCTCGTTCCAGAAAACGTTCTGCTAGAACGTATTAGAGTCATGTTAATTTTTTTCCCGCAGTCAAAAGAGCTCATACCTTAACGAAACCACCTGCGTGCCACAGACGAGATCAGCTCCGCACAGCGCGCATTTGTCCGCTTTTTCGCCACTAGATGGCGTAAAAACTCGGAAAACATGCTATTCAGTTCTGGGTTGCAGTTCATCTGATTTTAAATATTCTTTTTCCCCATAGTTTTTTTTTTTTTTGCTTCTATACGGGGACTGGAGAGGCAGAGGGCGGGGTGGGGGTGGAAGGCGTACCTTCCTCCGCGGGAGTTTCACAACTGGGCCGAACACACTAAAAAGAAACAATAAAGGCCTTTAAGGATTGTAAAGATTCTTCCAATTCCTCTGTGCACCCACTAAAATAAAAAAAAAGGAATATTTGATAGCCATTTTATCCATGGAGAGGAGGGACAAGTAAAACAACACGACACAGATCTGTGTCGTGCTGTCTTCATTGTCCCCGCTCTAGAGGGTTAAAATGTCTTCACTCAACCAGCTCACCGGCACCCTTGCTTTAGCTTCGAGATTTAATCGCTGCAATCTACTAGGGGATCTCGGGGAAAGTCGAGGCTGAAAATATGTTTAGACCAATGGCAAGCCCAAGCTGGGAGACGACACGCTTTGTGTCACAACGAAGAGGGTTACTTTTTTGTCTAATCAAGTTTTCAGGGTCGTCGTTAGCCGAGCCTCCCTCCGTACATTGTAGCAATTGGCTCTTTCAATTGCTTTGAAGGAAAGTCAACGCAGCAGAGGATTGTTTAGAATGTAAGCAATACTGTGGCTAGTAAGTTATTCCGTTTCTCCGACAACTAGAGTAAGGCTGTGTGATTCTTACAACGTTCTTTTTGTTGCACATGTAGGACGCCCGTGTTGCGATTGAAGCCATCGCAGTGGAATCCAGCGACTGAAGCCTCGTTCTCTGCGCGGTGTGCGTTGCATTTGCCCGAGTAGAAGTGGAAAATGTGAATCCTTGTGTGCCAGCGATGGTTTGCACATTTTGTGTTGTCTGCTTAATAATGCCGAGTGCGTGCTACCAACCAGAGACCAGTGGAAATAAACCAGTATTTTTATATTTATATGGTGTGTTATTACTTCAGAAGCGGCTATAGGCCTTTTTCGTGACGGCCGCCATGTTGAATTTTGACGTAGCAGAGGGGGCAAAATAGCAAATCAGTTCATTTGCCAAGTAAATAGCGCCAGAATTCAAAAGGATCGGGCCAATAGTTCTACTTTTTTCTTGGCTATACTTTTGTTATTGTAGATAAGCTTAAACTATTTACTTGACTTTCTAGTCGCCTAAGCCAACTACGTCATATTTGAACGTGGCAACCGTAAAATAGAATCGGTTTGTTCAGGAAATGCACAAGCAGACCATTTTGAAGGAGGCAAGTGCCAGTGGAGAATGCCTTATCAAACAGCGTATTTATACAGGGTGCTTTTCTAGGCTTTACAAATATATTAGAAAAAAGACGAAGAAAAAACACAATAAAAGCGACACTAAAGGTGCGTTCACACAGTAGCGTTTGGTCACGACCGACGCGAAAGACCATGTTTAAGCCTCCTGTGACAGGAGGCTTAAAGTACCTCTCTTGTCTCAGTCGGTCGTAGTCAAATGCAGGTGTGTGAACGGGCCTTAATACGTTCTGTGCAGGTGAGTAATACGGTCAGAGGGACGTAGTACAGGGAGTTAATCGTTGCGATAAGTCGAATGATGAAGTAAAATTCGTTAATTAACATTTGAATTAGTGAAAATAGACGCATGGCTCATTCCGATGGACCGATCCCCCAGCCGGTCTCATTGCGCCACCGCTGCCGCCATGCATTCTGGGAGCTGCAGCCTTTCTGCACACGCCACAACGTGGCTCGAGGCTCTGCGCGAGCAGAGCAGGAGGCGGCACGAGCTGTCTCGTGAACTGGCGCCTGCCTGCTAGGAACAACATTTATGGCGGCGTCATGCACACGTGGAACGCTTAGTGAGGTCGGTCTAGTAGAAACTTGCTGGGCGTCATTGAAAACCACTAAATTAATAATGTTTAGAAATACTTTGATAGCGTGGGAAGCGCAGTAGTGCGTTGAAGTTACCACCCGTGGAATGGGCACAAGGATGGGGTTGTGATAAAAAGCGAGAAAACCCCCGCGGGCCCGCTATTCATTCACTCATTCATTCATTTTATGTGCTGCTGCATGTTGAAATACAGTCGCTGGAGGAATGGACAAAAAAGGCGACGGTTTTCGGCTTGATGATGTCTAACGCCCCCCACTTCATTAGCAGACACCAGAAAAAAATAAAATAAAGCAACTATGGGCAGAAACATTGAGGAAATTTACTATGTTTATGTCAAAATAAAAAGTAAGCTATATATCCTAAATTTACATGTCGAGAAATCCTAAAAAAAACATCAGTTTTAAAGAATAAGATGTTAAATGTCAGATGACAATGTTGTCTTTTAATAATTGGATTAGTAAAAAAGGAAGATCGTGTTTCAGCATTTGAGTTCCAAATATGGTTCTACTGTTATGGTGTTTTCCAAATTTCCTCGTGACGTACGCTGTAAAATTTCATATTGCTGGTTAATTCCGATATGCTACTAACAAAAGACTTGTTTTGTTTAATACTTAATGTATATCGAAGAACAAGATTGTAGTCGTGTAGTTTGTTTAGAGAAATTACGTTTAAAGATTTAAGCTATGGTGTTGTCTGGGTCGATTGTGGCACATTAACTATAGATGGAATAGTTCACTTCGTCAAGTTAGTTACTGTAGATGTGCCACAAACCAAGTGACTGTAATTTAAATGTGACATAAATAACAAATTGTAATAAAATTAGCTTAATTTTGATCGGTAAACTAAAACTGAATTTGTTAAAAATACCGACACCCTAAGACATTTTGTTTATTAAAATTTGAGTTTGTTCGTTCCATAAAATGTGCTCATTTAACATTATACCTAAATTCATTTTTACAGTTGGTACGACTTCAATACTAGAGAGGCTAAGTTTAATGTGCAGGTCCTGATTTATTTTGTGGTCTAAAAGGAAACTATACCCTCGTTTTAGAAATATTAGTTTCGAAAGAGTTCGCTCTGTCTATTAGTACAATGACTCTAAGAAGTTGCTTGCGGTTTCAGTTTGTTTAGATTCTTATCTTATATCAACAGACTTGTACACGTTACAAAAAATTGTAAGGAATTACATTTACAATCCTTCAAGGCGAAATTGTAATTAATTACAATTACAATTACACTTCTACAAAAGTAAGCAACCGTCACCCCCCAAAATAATCCGTTACTTTCGTGGTATTACTTCCATTATTACTTTCCTCAAATAAAGAACAAAGGGAAGAGGGCTATTCAGACGTTTATTGTTGACATGAGTTCCAAAGACTGACCTTGAGTATTTTCAGCAGCAATTGGCTCTCTCGAAAGTCTCGTTAGACAACTTGCCTCATTTCTTCGTGACGATTTTGCCTGCAACGCTGAACATTTTTTCAACTGGGGCACTAGATGGGAGTTCTACCATATTGTTCCTCAAGAATGCTTGATGCAGTGCATTATGCTCCTCCAGCGAAGCAATGGAAGTGCTCTTTACCCTGAAGAAAGAGCAGAGCTTCGTCGTTTCTGCAGTGGCTGATATTGTCAAAATAGCGGAACTGTAGAAGCTTCGCGATTTTGGTATAACTGGCCAAACTTAGAATAAGAGTTATTTATGTACATCTAACTATACCGGCAGATATTACCAAACAATAGAATACGAAGTTAGTAATACAGGGTATAGTTACATGTGACGATTAAATAATAAATAAGGTTTTGATATATACTCTTCTTCCTTCCCTGTGAACAGGTCGAGCCTTGGTTGAGACGTTGGTGAACAAGATAATACAATCTTTTCGATATAAATATAAGTAAAAGTGAAAGCCGTTTACAACTCCCTGTAACGCCGAATTGGAGCGCAGCTCTTAAGGAGGAGGAGGCGGGAAGGGTACTAGGAAAGGGTATACCCCTCCTCCTTCTCCTCCTCCTCCCCTCATTCTTCAATATCCTCCGGGGGGAGGGGTCACTTGACCTCGGGGGGGGGGGGGGGGGGAGGGGGGTCGTGCATTATGGGAAATGTCCCATAATGCACCGCGCGAGCCCCACCCCCGGGGTCACGTGGCCCCCCCCCCCCCCCCCGGAGCCCCGTGACCTCGGGGGGGGGGGGGGGGGGGGCTCGCGCGGTGCATTAGACATTTCCCATAATGCAACGCGTGGTTACGAAAGGAAATAAAAGCACAAGGTACACTCCCCAGAACAATTAATTAAAACGTCGGTTACAACAAGGCAATGTTAACGCACGTTTTCGTATGCGTATGTACCTTTATTGATGGCGTTCAGATTGCACAGCACTGGCTGGCAGTAGTGTAGTCCATTATACTCTCAAGATAGACGTCTGCTGAGGCCACGGACAGCGAAGGGCAGATAACTAAGCCCCACTCACGAGTTGCACTCCTTCCTCAAGCCCGGAATCTCTAACTACGCCAGGTACTCTTGTTTTAGAGCGCAGCTCTTAGGCGCCCGTTTCTGGCTTGAGCGGCGTCACCATCGGCGTCGGCGTCGGAGTAACCGCGCGGTGAATTATGGATAAATGTCCCATGATGCAAAGCGCGGGAAGGAGGAGGAGGGGGAGAGGAAGGGGAGGAAGAGGAGGAAAGAGGGAGGAGGAGGAGGGGAGAGAGGAGAGGGTATACGGATGAGGAGAAGTGGGCATACCCTCCCCTCCTCTTTCTCAAGAGCTGTGCTCTAATTCAGCGTTACAAGAAGCTGTAAACGACTTTTTTTAGAGCGCAGCTATTAGGCCCTTCTTTCCGGCTTGAGCGGCGTCGCCTTCGCCGTCGGCGTAACCGCGACGACCTCTCGGCATGGTGACGTTTCGGCACCGTGCCGAAATGTCTGCGCGAGGTCACGTGCCACCCCTCAGGGGGGTCACGTGACACCCCTCGGGGGGGGGGGGTCAGGGGGGTCACGAATCCCTCAGATGATCACGTAATCCCCTGACCCCTCCCCAAAGGGTGTCACGTGACCCCCCTGCCCCCCCCTCCCCCCCCCCCCCCCCCCCCCCCCCGAGGGATGTCACCTGACTCCCTGAGCCCCCTGCGGGTGGTCACGTGACCTCGCGCGGACGTTTCGGCACGGTGCCAAAACGTCACCACGTCTAAACGTCGCCGCGGTTACGCCGACGGCGACGCTGTTCAAGCCAGAAACGGGCGCCTAATGGTACGTTTACAGTTGCGGATCCGCCAGGGAATCCGCCAGCGAATCCGCCCAGCTTTTGCCGCTGGGGCGAAACGCTCGGCGGAAAACGCGGCGGCGAGCCGTGTAGGTCTGGGACCTATTTATGCCGCCGAACGAGGCGTTTTGCTGACCGGAAGTGACATTCCTGTGCAGCGTGACGCTGCCTACGTAATGAGTAGGCGTTCTTCTGGGAGCAGCAACGCCCAAAAGAGACAGCCGAGGTGGGAACTCTCGCGCCTTCTCGTCATATTTGACGGGATGTTACGAGAACAGCTGCCGCAGCCGGCGCCGCCGCTGCCGCCGCCGCCGCTTGATGGAAATAGATGTAAACGCAACGCGCTCGTCTCGCCGGGAGCGGATCCGCTCCCGTGGCAGCGGATTGCTTCTCAGGTGTAAACGTACCATTAGAGCTGCCCGTTTCCGTGACCCCCCCCCCCCCCCCCCCCGAGGTCACGTGACCCCCGTGAGATCGCGAGGGACACGTGACGTCACGGTTACCCCGACAGCGCTCGGAGGGAGGAGCAGCATGATGAGGAGGTGAGGAGGAAGGAAGAGGGGTATACCCTCCCCTCAGTACCCTTCCCTCCTCCTCCTCAAGAGCTGCGCTTTAATTCGGCGTTAAAGGGAGTTGTAAACGGCTCTAATTTTTTTAGTAAGCATTTGTGTTTGAGATACGATGTGTCTGGGGTAAAAGCAGGAAAGTGGAAAAAAGAGCATTTCCATTTCCGAGGTGCTCGCAAAAAACTAACGCACAAGAAAAGTGAATGAGATGCAGATAGCCTGGCTAGAATTCACAAATAAAGTAAGCCAGCCCTCAAAATTAACTACAGAAAAAAATTAGTTCTTAAAATGTGTTCTAATAAAGTGAAAAACAAAGCTAAAAATGATACTGTTCTATAAGAGGTGTTGAGGCGTGTTCTAATACATTTTGTGCAGCAACGAACGAAGATGCTTGTTGCTATAACACCTTCACTTATTAATGCGAATACATAGATTGTCCTATGGAGCGAGCCAACGTCATGAGCCGCGCCAAACGGCAGATAAATTCCCGAAGCCGCGATCTGAGGCATCCCAGCTTTGAAACCACGAAGAAAGCCACGCAAAACGGCAGTGATATGAAGCCGCCGCGCGTCAGATTCAATTGCCGCCTCCCCATGGCGCTGCGTGTCTGTGAGGCAGAGGCTTCACCGCTCCAGGCCCAAAGTCAGCGTGGCGAGGAGAGCGCGCGCGCTCGACCGTCGACGCAAGTACGCCGCGGATGAAATAAAAAAGCGGAGGAACGGCCATACATGCTTTCGTATTCACAACTCATGAGAAGTGTTTAGGAGTACCTCGAGCCTTTTTATCACATCACTTTAGTGGATTCTAGGGTAGACGAAGCTTCCTAAGCTCCTTTTGTGACATTATGAAAATGGTCATGTCCATTATAAACCAAGGGGGACATTGTTAATTTTTGTGTGTGCACTTATGCCTCAAACTTCTCGAAGAGGCACACAATTACTTGGTGTCCCCCTCTCCCCATCTTGGATTGCAAAGAAAAAAAAAAGGAGAAAAAAAAATATATAACTTGATCCCATTTCTTAGAAACATTTATTTAGATTTTTTGACTGAATTGCTAGAATATGCAAAAAAAAAGAATCATATTCAAGGGCTTGGTGTTGTAAAGAAATGGTTTGTGGAACTGGAGAGTGTCAAGCCTCCTTTTGTGCTGATCATCAAGGCGCGTGACAGCGTGACTGCAGTCGACTTTACCAAAATTAGCAATATTTTGTTTTCTTCTTGTGGGCCAGGAAGTTCCAAGCGCAGCTGCGCTCTAAAGGCCAAGAGAAACATGGGACGCAAAATCAAGCTCAACATTGCCACGGCCAAGGCTCGACGAAACACCATCGAACTCAAGAGGGAAAGGGGGAGAAAGCATTGCGAATCCTTCACCGAAAAGACTGGAGCTAGACGGATGTGGCGCACCTTCAAGGGCATGACCCAGAAAAGGAAGGTCAAGTGTACAAGTCAAAACCTCGCACTCAAAATGGGACTCACTGAAGAAGCCGTATAAGTGTAACTTTCACGGCGTTTTTTACACAAATCTGTTAAGTTTAAGACACACCCCTGAATATATTATATATTACATCTTTTTCGTGTTTCGACGTGCTCAGGAGACTGGACTTTGAACCCAACATAAGTATGGGCGCCACTAACGGCCACAATATTAACGTCGTTGGGAATTGTCACTTATTGGCCTTGTAGCAGTTGCTTTACCCACATAACTACTAAATTCCAGAACTGCATTCTGTACTAGCTGTGTGCGAAATTTCCAGGTACAATCGCAAGAAAATTTATGGTAGAGTAACATCGAAGCCACATGTTGAGTGTTCGTTAGTTACACACTCCCTTGAACGTGGTTTTACCAAATGTGAGCGTCCTTTGCTTAATTCTATGTCGGATTCAAGTTTCCTTTGTTAGTAAAAAATAATGTACGAATAATTTAAGACGTTGCGGTTTCCTTCTGTTGCAAGATTGACCCTCTTTGCTCCCACTAAAACACAGATGACTTTACAATCATTGTTCCAGTGACGAACGACCTCCTGTACCGAGCGTTCCAACGACGAAATGACCTCGAACCAGAAAGAAGGTGTGACCAGTTGTTTCCCTGAGAAGTTTTAGGGTGACAAGTGGGATTTTGCCCAGTGGGCCGATTCCCAGTTCGAATGTACATTTCGCCGTTTATATCTTCTACAAACTGACTAGTGGCCTTACACCTTGCAGTTATATTGTCATGGGTGGTGACCAAAAGAACAGTAAATAAGCAGGAAGAAATAAACGTTTAATGTGGCGAACTTGTGCCCAAAACTATAAAAACAGAGCGTCGCGAGCGTCGAAGTCGGCGTAACAGCAGAGTCGAACGCTGAAGCGAGACTGACTCCGCTCGCCATGCGGAGAGCCCCTTATGTACCCTCGTGGGTTTCTGAAACATTCGGCGTAGAACTTTCGGCGCGTAGGGTATTTGGAACTCGATCAGACGAGAATGTTCTCGAACTTACGAGAACGCCAAGTTGACAGAATAAATAGAAGGACATTTCGCTGACTGGAATCAAACCTAGACATTCCGCGTGACAGTCAGGCACGCTAACCATCCGGCCACGCACGCGCTCCCTCGTCGACACGCGTGGCATAATTAGTTTCCTCCATCCTTAATGGTGCAAACGTTGACTCCGTTAGCCCCGCATGTACACGAAAAAGAGACGAGCCTGTTTACTCTACAGAGTAGCACTTTGTTTGCCTTTTCGATTTTTGTAATAATTCTGTGCGTGTGCTCTAATAAAAAAAAGTGCGTTATCTTTGCTGTGCGCTGCACATTCTCGATTGCTGGCGCCCGGCGTAGTCGGGCAGGAAAAAAAAAAGTATTGGATGAGCGGCGCCACATTTTATTGTACTTTCGACCCAGTGGAACGATGTCACTCTTGCGATGTCACTCTTGTTTCAAAAAGGCCGCACTGTGGCGTTACAGTCAACTTTGAACTCAAATCGACCAAAAGAGGGCATAGTTTTACGACTTTGTTATTGTACGGCAGAGCCGCCACGTGTGCACCACATACGAGATCAACGCTCTACAACTACACTTTTCCTTTGTTGACGCTAGCTTATTTTTTCTTTTTTTTTATAAACCGGGTTATCTGCGTTACTCTTTTTGTTACAGTTTACCTGAACCTATATTTTACTGTCGCCGCATACTTACTTCGTGTCCACACGCATCCCTTGATTGAAGAATTGAGATATTGGTCATCAAGTTCGTACCAGTTTAGGTAGATATTTCTTTTTGTCCAGGCAACTAAGTGTCGGTGTAGCGAAGAAAATGTCGAAGATGACGCGACAGGTTATTCCCTACTCATTCGCCAAGGAAATGAACCTTCCTTCCAGGTAAGAATACTCTTTAACCCGAGTATACGAACGCAGATGTTCAACCTTCTCAAGGCGGAGGTGATTTTTTCATGAGTTGTCCACCCAATGTTCGTCTGATAACGGCAAAAGATGACGCTGGTTATGAATTTGTGCACTAGAGGGCCTGACTTGTATGCACAACTATAGCCGTAGTAAACGAAAGTTCGCCTCCACACAAAAGTTTACTAATCCTCCCCCTCCCCCCTACATTTGTTGAATAAAAATATATGCAGGTGCATCCTATACTAGCTTTGGTAATTTTATCAAGACGAACACGTTTCAAGCGTCAAAAGCATCGTTTCTATTTTCGACAAGCAAATCTTGTAAAAAGTACTTCGCGCATCTCGTGAATAATGAGCAGACCGTGTTTTTTTCCTTATGTGACACTGATTATAGATCTAAGGGAGGGTGCGGCTCGGAGCCACTTCTTTTCAGTTTTTTTTTAATAATAAAACGTTACCTACTTATAAAGTTTCTCTTTTTTTAAAGCGATCATTAATTTCATTGTAATAAAAAGTTTTTTGTGCACATCACTTTTATTTTATAAGAGGTATGATGAAATAGCTAAGTTTGCTTCGAAGTTTAGAACGCTAGTAACAAGCCAAAAACTGCGTAAAAATTTAATTTAGAGGAGGATTCTAAAGGCTTCGCAGAACCTTCTTCTTAGAAGTCCTTTAGAAGTATGCAAAACTTAGCAAAAACATGATTAAGATAATGCAATTTCAAATACCTAAATCCATGCACTCTAGGTGTCCCCAAAATAATACCTAAACACTTTAACGTAAAAAAAAATTCCAAGCAAAAAAAAAAAAAAAAAAATGTATACGCAAGAGTACGACTAAAGCAACGGGATTGTTAGGCGGTATTGGGGAATTGTAGTAGACCGTTTCCGCAGCCCGCTAAGCACCCGGATAGCGCTCCGTAATCCGCCACAAGACCTTGAACTATGGAGACAAGGCTGGCGGCGCGCATGGGCAACTGCGGCGTTTTCTTTCCGGATACCGTAGCGGAGGAGAAAAACGGTCTACTACAATTCTCTATTCACATGGTGAGAGAAATCATTGTAGAAGCAATGTCTATGAATGCTTAAATGCCGCAAAATCCCCGGATGAACTTTGAGAACTCACGGATATTCAGCTCGCCGTTGGACAAACGTTCTTCGAGCTACTTGTCTCCTTCTTTCTTTTGAAACTTCTTGTGCCGCTTTCGGGCTTGAATACCGTTGGACAGTAGGAAGAGTGTGATCCTGGTCGTGGCATCGTCCCGCTTGATAAGGCCCACGAACATAAAAAAGTTGGGACGCGCCTTGCCGATGACATTGTTGACTTTTTTGTAATTGAATGACAGAATAATTACACATTCTTGCGAGTATACCGATTGATTGAATAATGGAGTCTTTTCTAATGTTGCAAATTGCAATCACCGGTGCCAAGTCTCATAGAAGTCGTTTATCCGGGCGCCGTTGTTTTGGGGATGGTTCTTCCGGTGCATATCGTATTTCACGAACAACCAAGTTTTCTTAAAGTGCAGGATGAGTTAAGAAATTCCAGGGGCTGGTGATGCCAAAGTCTTCAAAGTCCGCCAAGCAATGCGCACGAACGTGGGCGGGACAAACGTTAAACTAATTGTCTGGTGAACAAATATTGTCACCAGAGAGTGACCCTGATAGGCTCTGACGAGACCAAAACAATGAACATATCGCTAGATTTTCTGATCAAAGTAAGAATGCCATTCCCCGCGCCGAATGCCAGGAAACACGAAAATGAAAACCTGAATGAGGGCGAGTTCAAAGTCCGTCCGAACAACGTTGAGAGTCAGAGGTATACCTAGAACCAGACTTGTACGTAATCCGTTACAAGTAACGAAATTACTTGTAATCCCTTACATTTATCAGTAATTTAGTAACGGAATAATTACGTATTTTCTAGAGTAATTTCAAAGTAATTCCCTTACATTTTTGACGTAACGGATTCCTTGTAATCCGTTACATTTTTTTTTTCAGAACCAACCCCCCCCCCCCCCCCCCCCATTTTCTAAATAGATTTTTTTGTGTAAAGTTGAGCGCAGTGACACTGTCACGCGAATTGACCAGCGCAAAGGGAAGCTTGGCACTCTTCAGTTCCGCAAAGCCTTTTTTTGCAACACCAAGCCCCTGAATCTATTTTTTTTAGACCCTAGCAACAATGTCAAAAAATCCAAATGAACATTTCTACAAAGAAAACAAAAAAGGGGGGGGGGCGGGCACGTTATTTCCGCTTTTTTTAAGACCCTTTGTTTTTTCTTTGGGATCGAAGACGGGGAGAGGAGGACACCAAGCGATTGTGCACCTCTTCGAGAAGGTCGAGGCGGTAAGTGCACTGAAAAGAATTAACAATGTCCTTCTCGGTTATAGTGACTACGACCATTTTCATAATGTCACAACACGAGACAACGCTCCGTCTAAAAGCTGTGGGTCAGCTTTTTGCGAGCACTTAGAAAATGGTAATAGTCTTCCTTTCTTCTTCATGTTTTGCCCCAGCAGGACGCATCTTATCTCAAGCAGATATTTTTTACAAATAAAACATAATGGTGGCTGACGTAGACTTGATATTCTGGGCTTGAGGAGAGAGTGAAACTCGTGAGTGGGGCCATAGCGTGGCTTACTTAGTCCTCTACCCTTTGCTGCGCGTGACATCAGCGGACGTCTATGTGGAGAACACTGGAGTAAACTGCAGCCGGTTCGTGCTCCGTGCGTTTTTGAAAGGCACCAAGAAAGGTACGCACGGCAAACGTGCGTTTACATTTCCTTGTTTTAACCGACGTTCTAATTAATTGTTGTTATGACTGTCCTTTTATTTATTACTTATATTTAGGGTTCTGCGTTTTCGGTTTCTATTTTTCCAAAATTCGGCGTACGTTTTTCGGTGTTTATTTTAAAATTCAATTTTCGGCGTTTTTCGGCGTATATTTATGCCCACAAAAGTTTATCGGCTTTTTTCGGTGAATATAAAATAAACGCCAACGGACACCGGATCGGATGATCCTTGTAGCTCTGATACTTGTGATCACTCAAAGAATAACGGCATAGGTACATTGAAAAAAAAAATGGACCCTTTATTTGGCAAATGTGTGCAGCTCTAAAAGAAACAAGGAAAAACCTGAGAAGCACGAACAAGTCAGATATAAAGCCTATGCCCGAAAAACATAGAACTTCACCTTCTGTACATCAGGATTACGTTATCTTATAATACCACACCCAGATGTACGTTCCCAGGTTCTCCTCATTGATCCGCAGTCTTTCTTTCCTGTTGCTATGGCCCTGAGCTTCGAGAATGCCCTCTCAACACTAATACTGGACACTGGCAGGCTGAGAGGAAGCGCTGCCTGAGCCAAACTCGGTTAATCAACCAATTGTGACCGCCAAAAGAGAGACGGTGCGACTTTGTGAAGCTCAACACAGCATGCAGAGCTTGCATCAAGTCAGTCTTCCTTAAAACGAGTTTGAAAACACGCTCGTACATGGCAAAGTTATGGGGCATTTCGGACTTCAAGTTTCGATCGATGATGCGCACATTAAACCAAAACGTCGTGATGGCATCCGTGTATCCCATACATTCGGACACGTTTCGAAAGACACTGTTGTTCCACGTTTTCGCCACGGCTCTGCGGTACGACTGGAAGGTCAAAGTGACATTTTCCGGTTAAAACTGAATTTTAGAAAATTGATTCGACATACTTTTATCGGTTTTAATAAAAAAATGCCGAACCTAAAAACTGACCTTTTTCGGTTAAAACCGAATTTCCGAAAATAGATTCGGCGTACTTTTATCGGTTTTTATCGGTTTCAACCGAAAACTCCGAACCCTACTTATATTTATATACTGGAAATTCTTTTTTATTCAACAACGTCTCAAGTGACGCTCGAGCTGTTCAGAACCAAAGGAAGAAGAATATCGAGCCAACCCTTATTTATTATTTAATTATCACCGTACTGTTACAACTATGTATGGCTATTGATGACTTCCACAACTTCGCGAATTTTAGTAGATCGGTCCGGTGACTCCGATTACGATATCCGACACTTCGCCGCCGTCTTTGCGCATGCATCATATCGTTATCGGGTACCGTTATCGCGCGTATTGGAGGTACCGGAAGGATCTACTAAATCTTTGGAATAGCAGGCAACGGCTGCAACGCCGAAGCTTTGATCTACAATCGAGGTAAATAGTACTTCCCTTGTTTCGCTGAAAAAGCTCAATGCAGAGTATAAAGCATTCGTGAGGAACAATATGGCACTCACATCCAGTGCCTCAGCTCAAATGGTGTTCAGCGTAGCAGTCGACATATTGAGTAAGAGATAACGCAAAACGTCAGACGAGACATTCGAGAGCCAGCTGTTTCTCGAAATACTCAAGGTCATTAAATGGAACAGGCTGCAAGAATGAGAACTTGTATAACCCTCTTCCATTTGTTTCTTACTTGAGGATAATAATGTTAAAAGTAACGCCACGAAAGTAACGGATTACTTTTTAGGGTAACGGTCAGTTACTTTTATGGTAGGGTAATTGTAATTGTAATAAATTACAATTTAGCATTGAGTAATTGTAAATGTAATTCCTTACTATTTTTCAGTAACGTGCACAAGTCTGCTAGAACGTCCAACGCCTTCTTGAAGTGTATGAAGGCCGCCACATATACTTGTCGGGACTTCCCGCAGCTAGAAGAAAGACACACATGTTTAAAATAACTGCCAGTTTAACGGCTCTGAGGTTGACAAGTTGATGGAGCAAGGATTGACAACAGAGAAAGGTGCCATCGATGAACACTTCGTCCATTTCCACAAAAATGAGCGAGCGCTTCTTTCGTGCAAAAGCAATGGACGTGACCCGCACTTGTGGTGATGTCAGAGAGTAAAAAGTCAAGCTTATCGAGTGTCTCCGTGTTTAGTCTTCCAAGGCTGATCTCTGCCTTGGTAAATTTTGGTAGATATGTTTGCTGCTCCTTTCTTTTCCGACACAGGGTGTTTCTCACGCTCTCGAATGTAGGCAAATCAAGCCTCATGGCGTCGTCAGATTAGAAGAAAACCGTCAAGTCGCAAAGACGATTACACCATGAACATTTCGCACACTTTTACGCGAGTAAGGACACGCGTGACATGTCATACAAACGAAACAATGTTTTCACTCACTTGTCCCGCAAGGCTCAAGATAACTGTGCTGTATCCTTCTGGTGCTGGCGCGCGAGTCTCCGTGCTGACCCTTTTCTTTTAAAGCATTCTTCAATCGTACTTCACGGAGTTTGCTGCTATCGGGTGGATAAGTGTGCTCTGAAAAAGACGTGGTAATAATCGAATGTCGCACGAAGAAAATAATCTTCATGTTTAATTGACCGAAATAGAAAATCGCTTAAATTGCCATTTTAACTACCAGAAGAATTGTCACTAGAGTTGGTAAAAATTCATAAGAGGTATGGAAATAAATTTACCCTAGGTTTTCTAGGTGACTTCTTCTTCAGTAAGCACCACGGCTTTGCACTTAAAAGGAAACTCCGCTCCACTTTTGTTTTTGAATGAACAAAAAAACAAACAGTGCAGTCGTCTTGAGTATCATCTGGAAACGCCACAGGCCAAATATTAAGACTTAGTTATGTCGAAATGTTTCTCAAACGGTCTGGCAAACTTTTTAATGTGCGAACTTGCCAAAATCGGGCGACTCTAGCGGGGTAATTGAGGTCCAATCAACAGCGCAGTCAAGGCTACAGTGTTGGCATAGCTAACACCGAGATAAACGTCATCAATATTTCTTGGCAGAAGAGCGTGTTGGTTTAAGTCATGAAAGATGTGGTTGTGTTGTCCCTGTTTTAATTGTTTATTCTTTCTTCATCCATGTCAATATTTCTACTTTTTGTTAACTTTTACTCCTCCGAGCAAGCGTAAAGCGCAGACCACATGGCGCGTTTTTGCTCGCGATTCAGGCGCGTCGGCGTCAAACTGACGTCATTTCCTGCGCGCGGGCGCGCGTTTTCGCGGGAGTGTTGGTTTCTAGCCGATCCAGAACAAGACGCGCGCGCCGAGGCGTCGAAGCGGCTCTCGCCCAATGAGGGTCGGTCGAACTATCACGTGATCCTGCACAGTACGCCGTTTCGTATTCAGCACATTTCAAAGTGTTCAAAAGCATTTTTATTTTCCATATAAAAATTGAAAAGGTGTTTCTTTTGAGCCACTAACCCGTTTTATTTACTTATTGTTCCTTTAAGGCGCGTTCCCACCGGCGATGCGATCTAGTCGCGCGATAACTTTCATCGCAAAAGCGACCATCGCGGGCAAAAGGCGACGCGATTTGAGCAGTCGCTGCTCGACCCGACTTTTTTGCGATGCGATCTAGTCGCGGAGCGGCTGAGCCAATCAACGGCGTTCGGAGCGAGAGTTTTCGAGAAACGACTCGCCAACGAAGGCGTTGGACTCGCTCATCGCGCACGCCGGTGTGACCATCTAGCTTTTTTTGCGATGTGATCTATCGCATCGCGCGGCTGCTTACTTCGCCGTTGGGATGCCACTTTAGTTCTCATTTTGTAGTATTTGCGTCAACATTTACATCGCGTGTTGAGAATCCTGTTATCTGGCAACGCTGATAACGCGCGGCCGCACTCTAAAAAAGGCCCGTGCGTCTGCTTTCCCGCACACCACTCGGAGAGCCAATCACCGCAACTTACGGAGGCATCTCAGCGAATGGCAATGCCGAAAGATCTGTTTAGACCAAAAAACGCAGTCTGAGTTGTGACATTAAGCAATGCAAGCGTGACGTTTTGCATTGCTTAATGTCACAGCTCAGACTGCGTTTTTTGGTCTAAACATATGTTTCAGCATTGTCATTTGCTGAGCTGCCTCCGTAAGTTGCGGTGATTGGCTCTCTGAGGGTTGTGCGTGTAAGTAGACGCACAAACTTTTTTTAGAGTGCGGCGGTGCTTGGCTTTGTCTGCATGCGGGTGCCCCCGCGTCAGCTTCCGCACGAGCGTCACGTTTTCACGTGTAGAACAATGCGCCGTGCGAATGATATCAGCAGCGTTTCCTCTCTGCTCTCAGCGGTGCCCACGGGATTGACATAACGCGCCTGCGCAGCGGGCTTCTCAGCCTTGGGAGCCTTTCATTGGCCTGCGAGCGGGGAGCCGATATCTGCTACCAATAAAACTCCCAGTGCGCTGCGCTACACCGCCTTTGCTACGCTCAACGTCGGCGTACAACAGAGACTGTACCACCGTCTCCCGCGTCATAACCGCCGTCGTTCTCTCTCCGTTTGTGATTATTACCTCTCGGAGTTTCGTTCAGACTAGGTGCGTAGACTCATGCCGCAGTTGTGCAGACGTTGTTCGATATCCAAGACACAAAAACGTGGTGAAGACTACGGTGCAGACGACACGTGCACATTGAACGCGCCCGCCCCAACGGTAGCTCGCTCCCATCCCTCCCGTCGTCGCGTAGAGGATTACGGGACCGTTTGTACCACGTGGTAGTCATGCTCTTTGCGGCCCGAGGCTAATGTTGCCCGACAAAGTCACAGCTTCGGTTTCGGTTTATAGGCTCATGTTTAGAATAGGATTTCACAAAACATATCTCATTTTTCGCGAAGGAAATGACGTAGTGTCTTTTAATATTGGTTTTCAAGTGAAATCACTCATGATCCCAAAATTTTCGTAATTGAGCTGAGTTGCCCTCTAAAAGCGCCCAGTAATTCGTACATCACCAAGCGGTTCTGCTATTTCGGTTCTTTTTTGAGAAATCACTATCTGAATCCGTCTACCGCTACCGCGGCAAAGCCTTCCCTTTTTGCGATTTTAAGAATTTCAGCTCCAACTTCCGCGGCAAAGCCTGTTCTGTTGTTCTTAACTTCTGAACGGACAAGGAGGCCGGGGAATCCAGTACGGGGATTCGCGTGGGTGGTTTTTGAATGGCGAGGGTTTGGTAAATGGTGGAGATATTGCAGGGGATTTGCAACGGGGGTTTTGGGACGAGGTGTTCGGGATAAGGTTATCTCGCGCACCACCCATACTATATAAAAGCAAGCGTGCTTCGAACGTGCCTGAGGTATGTCCTCAAATAATTATCTCATCATATCTGCAGCGAACACTGTACTTTGTGTGAAGTACACGCAGTGTGTCAGCGTCTTTAGGAGGGAGGGGGGATGGAAGCTGGGGTGGTAGAAACAATCATGTGGGTTGCGGGTCTTTTTGTTTTTACTGATATTTTATCGTTAAACATCTTGGGGTCGAGCGCAGAGAACGCTAAATTTGTCTTCGATGGTGTCAGGAATGAAACTGCTAAATTGGACTGCAAGTGCTGAGATCCCTCCCCCTCCGGCGCCCCGTCGGTGTGGACGACGGAGCTGAGAAGGAAACGGCACACACGGTTGAGGGCACGCGCATCTCTCCATACCTCTGCGGATTTCCTAACCGTCTGAGTGGTGCTTTATAACCGGAGATTCTTCTTTCCACAGTGCTGCCTTTCGAGTTGGAAACACCATGTACATCTCTGGGGTGATAGGGTATAGGCCGAGAGATTCTGACTCCGTGGTTCCTGGTGGAATCGTTCCTGAGACCCGATTGGCAAGTTCTTTTCAGCAGCCAAGTTTTCTTAGAAAAAGAAATATATATTACACCAGCTTGATTATGCTCACAAAACCCGGAGAGCACAAACTGTATTGAGCTTTGACTATACCATCTCGCAGAAATTGAAGTCACGGGACTTGAGGTAACATTACGTGGTCAATCATGTGACGTCTATTTCCCCACTAGTTTTAGCGTGGAGATTGACGTCACGTTACATGACTTTCACCTCTTACGATTAGCCGGGAAATTGACCCAAGGTGACTTTAGTTAACATAACGTCATGTAACTTGGTCTTGTGACAATAATTTCTCTGCTAAATTTAGCGGTGAAATGGACGTGACGGTTCTACTCGACGGACCCTCTTGACGGGACTTTGTGACAGCCCTTCATATATTCCGGTCTTCGAGGAAGTCCTTAGTAACGGTCCTTCGTGACTGTTATTAAGGTGTTCACTGAAAAATGAAGTGAAAAAAAAAGTGTAATTGTTATAAAAAGGGGAGATTTCGTTTTTCTATTGGCATACTCGATTGTGGATCGTTAAAGGCGCCACTTCCAGGGGCGGTCATTTTTCTTAAAAAAACACTAACACCAACCCATTGTTTTTTTGCCAGGTGATTTATTATGGTGTCCGAAGACTACTCAATGAATATTTGCTACAGCGTCACGTGCATTTTTAGTAACGTCAAAATACGCAAGTTCTCGAAACCGAAACCGACACTGGACTTGGGAAGAAAAACAAATATATAGGAGGGGAAAGTTAGCGGAAGTCACGTTGCTATGCAACTTTTTCTTTTCAATCAACGTATTTGCAGCTTTTTAGAAGCCAGTAAAATAATTTGTCCGTGTCATTTTTGTCAATTTTTAGTATTGAGTGTGTGCCTTCGATGACCCATGATTTTGATTATCTTTGGTGGTTGTGTCTAAACTACAGAAAACGGCTCGTGACCACGGAGAAGAGCGTGAGCGCGACTTAAACCGCTTAGTTCTCGATCGGTGATTTTTGTGCTGAAGGAAAACGAATTTCGAGCCTCGAATTATGTTCTGTGCAGTTGGGCTCTGATATGTTACGTACACATAAAAACGTTTTTGGTCACCATAAAATCCAGCGTTCCTTTAAGTGGCAGTGACACATGACCTGCCAGTGTCCTTCGCATTCTCGCCTTTCGCACTTCTAGCTCTAAGTTCAAAAATGTACACGTTACCGAAGAAAAATAACTAAATTCTGTAACCTGTTACTCGCTCAAAAAGTGCCCAAGTGCGTCATTCGTTAATGGTGTTAAAAATGAACGAGTCACTTCAGCTCAAAAGTGTTTTTTCTTTGTTACTCTGGATGTGTCGTTTTTCTGAAACAGTAGCCGCCTTGCAATATTACGCGTTATCAAAAATCCTTTGCTTCTTAAGCAATTTAACGACATCTTTTCTCCTTTCTTGCTTCCGCTTTTTTTTTTTTTTACGTGAGAGTCACAGGCGAGAGCTACGGTGAAAACCGAGTAGTGTAATTTGTGTTGTACACCTTTCTCTTTAGAAGTAACCAAATATCGCGAACCGTTACTTTATCAAAAATTAACAAAATACGCTTTTACTTATTTTCTCGAAACTGAACCAACTCGTTCCTGCGTAACCGGAAAAAGTAACTAGATAGAAGTCACGCGCTACGTGTAAGACTGGATGTAACCTATTGAGTTGCATGTATCACGATGCACCTTCTGCATCAGCAGTCTAGGCCAGGCATGATATGTTTGCAAAGATCACTAGAATAGAATGTCAAATACATAGACATCAAATGTGTATCCACTAGATCCCTAATATTAGTAGACCTTGGTGTTTATATGAGATAACCCATAAACTCCCGCCCTTCTTTTCTCAATTACTCACTCGCCAAAAGAGTATTTACGGCAAAAACGTGAAATGAGTGTTCATGCGCTCCTAGGTTTTACAAAATGTTCACGCTTTCCCTTACCGTCTTCTAGGCCCTTACCAATCTTGGACATCTCCTGGAAATGGGAAAAATGACCCATAAAAACGGTAAATTGATAAACTAGAGATTCACCTCTCCCTTTCTTTCCCAGATACCGCATACAAATGTGCTCTTAGTGAACAGTGGAGTTTATTCTTCGAGCTGAGAACCGGCAGATTTGAAATGTGTCGAACTGGTGCGAAGGAAGATAGGCTTCTAGCATCCACGTTGAATTAACACGAGACTGGGTTTAGAGAAGAAACGTCAAAACGTAGAAGGGACAGAAAAACAACAGGACGTCGTTCTGTATTTTTACTGCCCTTCTACGTTTTGATGTTTCTTCTCTATGCAAGCCTCAGGTTAATCGAACATGGTTAATGCTCACCTGCTCGCCTGCACCCTCAAGATATTTTCTAACATCCCATTTGTAAGTTTCAAGCCAACTGCTCTTTTTGTACAAATTTGCGGCACAAGCTGCGCCTAAGCGTAATGATTTCAAATTTTCATGAATGGCGTAACATTTAAGGCCTGTTTACAAACTTGCGACTTCTTAGCACTGCGTTCCTTAAAGGGGTGCTATAACGAAATTTCGGCGCTTATTTCTTGGTCTATTTGTGCTCAAGGGAGCATATCACATCAGACATAGCAATCTCTTGTTGAAAAAAAGACACAAAAAAGAATTTTTAAACAAATTAAGCGATTAGCAAAGCGCACCTGGTGGATGTCGCTAACGACTTGTTTGTAATGCCCGTCTGTGAACCTTGACAGGTAGTGACGATAACTGTCTCGCCACCGAGAAAAGAGGGGAAGGATGAACTCCCCTCTCCCCGATACTCCCTTTTGTGTGCCCTAGATGTCGCTATTGTCCCTCTACAAGATTTTAGAAGATTAACCCGTCACTCAAAATTCGTGCGAAAGCACTTTGGAGTTAGTTGCGGTGGCCCGATCGTTGGAGTGCTTCGGTGGCTGGAACGGCTAGGACATACTCTCGACGTCATTCTCGCACCAGCTTTGCTCGTATCGAGACAATATACGCCACGATTGCGGCGAATGTCACGTGCTCTCCGCTGGCTGCTCTCCAGGCGATTGGCAGAATGAGCCGTGGCTCATACTCAGCCTATTTCTGAACATGACGGGTATATTTAAAATTTTGTTGAAGTATACGTTTAAAACCTCCTACAATCTCTTGCAACGAGAGAACACACTGGCACGCTAGAGCCATCTATTAGGCGACTCTGGAACTGCAATTCTCTAGAGCGAAGAATTAGTGGTACTTGCGAAGTAAAATGCACGTACTACTTATGAGAGATTATCGTTTATAACATTGGCAAAACCTTTTCAAGCTAAGAAAGAAAGAATGATGGGCGAAATAAATAGTAAATATTGTCACGAATGAAGGTGACGAGAAGCCGAACAGTGAGTTCGCCAATGAAACCAATAAAGGTTTAATTGGCGAACTTGTGCCAAATAAAAATAAGTAACGAAAGAGCGTCGAGGCAGCAGAAAAGCGGGCGGCGATTCGGCGGCACTACAGGGGCTCTAATCTGGACCCTTGGCGAAAAAGTCGGCGAGAAATCTGGCGGCCGTGATTGGCCAACTCCGCACTTGACCTTGGCGGCGGCCAATCAGAGCAACCGAATTTCTCGCCGACGTTTTCGCCAAGTGTCCAGATTAGGGCCACAGAGCGCTAGTGAGACTGACCCGACAAGGTCGCGGGCAGCTGCTTATCTACCGTGCGTCACTATCTCGAAAGTTCGGCAAAGAAAGTTCGAGCGTCGCGCGCTCGGGGCGAAGATGAACTGGCACTTTCGAGAACAAGAAAGCAAGTGGAAAGTTACGTCTGGTGCGAGAATGAACAAGAATCCTCTAGAAGTCCGTGACCGAGCGTTTCTTTATCGACCCTGCGGGCAGCAATACCGCCAAGTGTTCCACTGCTATCTGGTAGGGTGCGCCAGTCGTCTAGAGTGCCTCAATGTTGCTTGTCGAGCCAGCAACATTGAGGCACTCTACTCCCGTCGCTCTCGTCGAGTAGGCATCGGACAAAAACGAGCGGCCGGTGCCGGTCGTCCTGCCGTTGAGGCGTAAGTGTCCTTCGGTTTAGCAGATGCCGATTTACTCGAAGAAATCTCCAGTTCAAATGCCCGTTCAACTTCTTCCCGAACAAACTCGGCACTCGAAATGGAAGCGGGCCACTGGCGACAAGAAGTAGCTTCCTGGGCTCCCCCCGGACAATGTCAACGATGATGTCACGGATGCATAAGAGGCTGGCGTTGAAGTTGCAGCTGGACAACTCGAGTGTGAAGACGTTGGAAAATCGTTGACGGTTACCGTCTTGGGCCGGCAGGACACATTCGATGTAGGAAGCATCGGTGAGAAATCCTTCGAAATCGGTCTGAGGGTTGCGGACACGGCTGCCGAACGATGCTGTCCCTTCTGGCCCGCATGAGGATTCTCAACTTCTTCTGATCTGCAACAGGATACCTTGCTGGGCTGGTTGGTTGAACGACATAATGAGAAACAGCGCAAAAGGGACAGGACACAAAGTAGAAGAAGGACACCGGACATATGTGTCCTTCTTCTACTTTGTGTCCTGTCCCTTTTGCGCTGTTTCTCATTATGTCGTTCTGATCTGCAGCCTGAGAATCAGCGCGACCACTGAGGCGCAAGACATCCTCCACGAAGGTAGTGACACTCTGGCTGGGGCGCTGCGTCCTGGACCGAAGCAGGCCTTTGGCTCTCTCTCGATGATTTTGGTTTACGAGGGTGAGCTTCAGAACAGTTTTGCAAAACCTCCACCGACGTCAAGGAGGATTTGTGGTTCCCAAACCAGTGCCTGGCAGTACATTACAGCAAGAAGCACACGTTTCGTAGGTGCTGGTTGTCTGTCCGCCCGTTGTGGCAAGCGACACGATGATATTGGTCAATCCTCTCCTCGATATCTTCGTACACCTCATCGTGGAAGGGCGTCGGAGAGCAAGGTGCAACGGGCATATAAACAGCGTTGAGAGCTGCCGACGTCTGCTGCGACAGTTTAGTAATTGTTGGCTAAGTCTGCTTCAATTTTGTGGGCACGAGACCGAATTCTGGTGGTTCTCCTTGGTGGCAGCGACTGGCTCGGGGTTTAGGTTCTTCGCGGTTTATTTCCGAAGCTCGCTCTTTTTGTGGGACTCGCTCGTCTTGTGGTTTTTCTGCCGGGCTTCAGATCTGACTTGGTTTACGGCTTTTTGTGGTGTACGATGAAAGGGCAAAGGGTAAAGTACTCAGTGCCTGCACATTAACATATGTTGGCAGTCGGGTATGGCCTGGAACTTCTCAGAATAGCAGATTGATAAAAGAAGGGAACTGACCGAGCATCTTTGTCAATAGAACAAAACTTTGCGAGGTGCCCGTCGTTGGTTTGGCGCCGTAAGGGCCTCCAATATAACACAAAATACTGAAGAGTGTGTATCTTGACCAGTAAAAGAGCTGCATTGCCTGAGCGGTAAGCTGTCCAAACAAATCCTCTCCTTCGGTGTTTCGATGACTGTCGTTGACGAACCGAACGGAAACGGATGTGGGACCACTTTTCTGGCATTGAACTGCCATACTTGTGTTTCTCAAAAGTGCACGTCCACGCCAGAACAATTTTTAAAGCAGCACAGAATTGTCTGGCACGGCACAGTTCCTGTGCCGTGCTAGGCAATTTGGAAGCTGGTAGTTCTTACTAGCTTCAAAGCAGCTCTTCGGTGAGTTGCAGAACCAAAGTAAACTTCGGTCATTTGGACGAAGCGGCACCACGCTGCACACTGCCAAGAACGACTTACGTGATTTCCGTAGGAAATCTGTGTATCCAAATACGTCGCACACGCTTCACTGCAGACCTCTGAGGTTACGGTGATCAACGACAGCACAAAAACGTCTCGGTAAAGTTTATCTTAGCGATATCCTAATCGATCGGAGGTCCGAACAACGCAGGACCGATTCTGTCTAGTGTAAACATCCCCGCTGATCACCAGCGAAATGCGCGACATTCCATCGTATTTTCACGTTGTGCCTACGTGAAAGACAAGAAGTCAGTTTCGACCTGCTTCAGATCACGGCTCCCGCATCTGAAATAAACTCGCTCGGACCCAGGACGACGAACAACGTAACCGACAAGCTGCGGCTCAGGGGTGAAAACACTGTCCATTCGCTGCCATCTTGCCTCTTACGTCACGTATTTGGTTAGATCACGTGCTGAGTAGTCACATTTGCGCAATATGGCGGTGTCCTGGGGGGTTCCTTCCTTGCGTGTAAGCACCGAAACCCCGGTCTATTGCTCTTAAGCGCTGTGCAAACCAAAACCGGCTTTCGGATCCGCCATTCGATTTCGGCATGAAAATCCGTCCGGAGAGGAAGAAACATCATGTGTCGTCCCGATGCATTCTGATTTTTGACCGATGCCTGCGGGAAGAGAGGGGAGAGGGTGAAAGGCTTTTTTGCGTGCTCGGTGCTCGGCGGGGGAATTCCCGCAAGGTCCAGCTTGTGGATGCGTGCGAACCAAAATCGGCTCTCGACGTGCCCGCCTCGAGTTTCTTTTTTTCTGAAATCGGATGTCGGGTCCGGGCAGCCGATTTCGGTTTGCACAGCCCTTAAAGGGATACTTCAACGAAATTTGAAATATACCCGTCGTGTTCAGAAATAGGTTGAATATGATCCAAAAAATCCGTAAATGACAATCAGACGTTTGTATTTTGAGCCTGATGGCTGTACTTATCGTTACAAACGGCAAACTCATGCAAGCGTTCGGAGAATAGCCAGCGGAGAGCACGTCACATCCGGCGCAATCGTGACGTAGTCTGTCTCGGGATGAGCAAAGCTGCGGTGAGGCTGACGTCGTCAGGATTCCCTAGCCGTTCCAGCCACCGAAGCGGTCCAAGCACGTCAGCCATCGGGCCACCGCAACTAACCGAAAATCTGCTTTTGTGTGAATATTGAGTGACGGGTTATTCTTCTATAATCTTGTAAGGGGAGAATGGTGACGTCTAGGAAACGCAAAAGAAAAGTCCCGTTGAGTGGAGAATTCCTCCCTCCCCTCTTCTCTTGTGCG